AATGTGTTTGTGGTGTGAGTTTTGAAAGTATTTTGAAAACGTCTTTGTAATGGCTCTCGTTTCTATAAGAACGCATACAAAGTGTTGTTTTGAAAATAGTTCAAAGAGGTGTTTGTGGAATGTGTTTTTGAAAGTGATTTTGAAAAGTGTCTTTGTAATGGTTCTCATTTCTATAAGAACACGTACAAAGTGTTTTGTCTTTTGAAATTGTTTCAAAATGAAAGTGTGGGTGTATAAAATGTTTTTGTTGTGAGCAAGCGAGCAACTAGGAGCATCCTACCTACTCAAGAGGTCTTAATGTTCTTTTCCTCCTCCTCCTTTAGATGTTTCTATCTTACCATTGATTTGGTAAGAATCCCCATCATTGGATGTGAAGGGACGAGCGTGGGACGTTTGTATAGTTATAAAAGGCAACCTATGGGACGTTTTAGCAATGTTATTTAGGGACTAGATCGTTTACCCAAGGCAACATTAAGAGTCATCGAGGGACTACGATCTTTTATCGAGGGCCTTTTCTAAAATGCCCATATTCGAGGGACATGACTATTTTTCTGAGGCAACAAGTGGAATTACCCTAGGGGTGGATGTGTGAATAGTGTGTTTTATTTGCATGCATTTAGTCTTTGATTAGGGGTTGTCTACTTGTTGTTTTTATCTTGCCATACATACCCTATTTTACTAATAATCATACAAAAGTAATAAAATGTAGAAAGATAAAATCCTATATTATTACAACCATATTGAATAGCATGAAAATATAAAGGCAAAATAAATAAAATAAAGAGGAAAAAGGGGCTCTTTCGATTCAACGGAAGAACTCTTCGATTATTCTTCTTTGGATCTTTTTGATTTAGGCCTAGAGACAGTGAGGTCATGGCCTTTGATTTACCTTTCTGCCTCCTTCGACTGGGGGTTGGAACCAGTGTAGGCGTGCCTTTCAATTGGGGCCTGGAGGCAAGCATGTTGTGCCTTTCGACTGGGCCTGAAACCAGTGCAAGATGTAATCTGCCTTTCTGCCTCCTTCGACTGGGGTTAAAAGTAGTGAGGGCATTCCTTTCGTATGGGCCTGCAGGTTAGTGTGTTCGAAGCAAGTCTGTGTGTGATGAACATGTTTGTGTCGAAGCATGTGTATGCATCGAAGCAGGTGTATCGAATCATGTATGCAACGAACATGTGTGTGTCGAGGCACACATTATTTTCCTTTCTATTTGAGCCTGTCGAAGCCTCAAGGCTCTGTATCGAAGTATGCATATTTTTTTACTCCAACATTTTTAGGGTTTGTATAGATTAGTTCTTTAAAGTAAAACACAAAAGATTAACATCGAAGGCCATGGTTATTACATGTTGGCCTCGAAGATGAATCAAATAAGATGCTTGCAACAGAAGAGTTAAAGTCAGAAAGACTTACCTCAAAGCTGGTGTGTGGGTTTCGAACTTGAACTGCTGTCTGGACGGTTCTGGAATTCGAAGAGTTGTCACAGGGGGTTTGCCTTTGGTTCAAAGAGTTGTCATAGAAGGTTGTCCTTGAGTTTAAACAAAACTTATATGTATGAGGTGTTCTGGATAGTTGATTTATGAGAGTTGGAAAGATGAGATAATGGATTTTTATTTTTTGTTTGTAGGTGAAAGTATAGTTGATTTTTTGAGTGAGCAAAAATTTACAACGGTTTCTGTTTTGTTTCCCAACTCTCTTTTCTCTCCTCTCAATGTCTCCAGCCCCTTTTGATGTTGTGAAGAATAGTTTATTTATAGAGGAACTTTGTTGTGGTTTTGGGGGGAAAACAAATAACATTTGAACTGTTTGGGTATAATGTCCCCTTGTTTTCTTTGATGTAGCTCTTATGTACCATTTTTTGTGTAAGTATGAGACTGAGACCATGCAGGCTCAACAGTATTTTAGATTGTTGTGGCAGCTTGGTGCAGGACTGTTGCATAGCAGTACAGTTGCCTTGGGTTTGGCAGTATATAGGACTTTGGTCAACAAATAACTTGAATACTCCACCCTTTCGTTTTGATTACTTCAACCAGACTCATCATCATACAACCACGTTCATTTCCAACAATCGGTGTTCTTCGAATGGGCCCATTATAGGTCCTTCGAATCCACCAATTATGATCCATATTGTTAAAGAGTTTTAGAGGTGTAATCTAAGTACGTTGCTTCGAAGGGTTTAATTGCTCAACTTGTGGACCGAAGGGGGTTACCTTGGAGGAAGTCACATGCCCAGTTTGTGGATCGAATGGAGGTCACTTCGAAGTAAGCCATATGCCCAGTTTATGGATCGAAGGGGGTCACTTAGAAGGAAGCCATATGCCCATATCGAAGCTTGTGACTGAAGGTAGACTACATTGCCCAATCTAACTTTTCTAAATCGAAGCCAACTTGTTTCTTTTTTGACTTAATCGAAAGGCACCTTAACATCTTCAAAATTTTACATTTTCTTTATTTCTTTAAATAGGTTTTTGTAATCACACATGCGAGAGAAATCTTGAGAAAATGAGAGGGAAAATTTTGGGGTACAACAACCACCCTTAGTTTTCTTCTTGGCTTCTGACCAAGTCTGCTTCTGATACTTCCTACCAGAAGTTACTTTCAGAGCCTGCTGCTCTACTTCCCTCTCAGAAGTTCTCGCAGTCATACGCAACTCATGCGCATCTAGACTACTTTGCATCTCTTCAACTCTCACGGTGCTCAGATCTTTGGAATTTTCATTGCTACCACAATGTAATCAAATCGAGAAGTTAAAGATCTCAAGATCTTCTCAATGGTTATTTGTTCATAAAGAGTTTCTCCACAAGATTTCATCTCATTGGTGATCATAATCACTCTAGAGATGTACTCAAAAACCTTCTCGTCGTCCTTCATGTTGAGATTCTCATATTTCTTTTTGAGAGACTGAAGCTTCGCCTTCTTCACTGATGTGTCACCACCGTAACATCTGACCAGTGTTTCCCATGCAGCCTTTGTTGTTTCAGAATCGACAATCTTCTCAAACACATTTGCATCCACACATTGATGGATGTAGAACAACGCCTTCTGGTCTTTCTTCCTTAGCGTCTTCTGTGTTATCTTTTGTGCCTCTGTTGCATCTGCTTCTAACAAATCATAGCCATCAGTGACAAGATCTAACACATCTTGAGAACCAAATAACATGCGCATCTGGATCTTCCAACAATTCCAGTTTTTTTCCATCAAATACTGGAAGCTTGGAATGGACATCACTGTCATTTCCGTTCATCTTCTACCTTGTTCAATTTACACAGAAACTCAATAAAGCAGTGTTTCCCAAATCCCCAGAATCAGAAACAACGATTATCATGTAGCACCTCACTATTCTCCCGTGTTTCCCATTTTCCCGTGGATTTCGAACCGGAGCTCTAGATACCAATTACTGGTGCACAAAGAAGAGATGAAAGGAAAAAGAAATATATTTAACGACGACTACAAAAATAAGGAATAATGATTTACAATGAATTACATTGAGCTACCTCACTAGGCTATTTATACACAAAATAAAATCCTAAATATCCTCTAACAAAGATATAAAAAAGATATAATAATATCTTCAAAAAAGATATTCCTAAAATATAGATTAATATCCAAAATATATTCCTAAAATATAGATTAAATCTAATAATCTCAAGCCTTGCCATCATATAATCTTTCATTTCCAAAAGATAATGTCTTACCCCGCCTTCATAGTGTAATGAAGTGGGAAAGACACGATATGATAGATATTGTTTATGATTGCAATGATTTGCTAAAATAATGCATAGACAATGAAAGAGCACAAAACCTTTGGTTAACTTCTGGTAGCAACTCATCGAGTGCGGGTAACAACCTCTATCAACATGTCATACCAAATCAAATTTAAAAATATCAAAAACAAAACTTATCAAAAACAAAATAAATTATAAAGATATTAGTATAAATCTTTTGTTGATCACTTATAAAGGTATGTGTCTTGCATAATCTAACACCTCATAAATCAGTTGTCAATAGATCCAAAAACCAACTCCATGAATCTTTGGTTTCTCCCTGAACTACACCAAATGCTATTGGCGACATTTGGTCATTAGGATCCCTCCCAATTACTGCAAGATTTTTTCCACCATAATATCCTTTCAAAAAGCATCAATCCAAACCTATGATAGGTTTGCACTTAAAGAAATTATCCTTGCAAGCTTTGAGGAAAATAAAAATCCTTTGGAAATGTGGTTTCAAAGGCCTACCAGGATTCTCACTACTTTCCTTTCCACCTTGACTTGGTTGACTAGTAATTTTGACACTTGAACCAGGGTTTGTCCTTAACAGCTCATGCCCATAATCATGGATTCTTGTATACTGATCCCTAAATGAACCATCAACAATGTCAATAGCAAGTGACTTAGCTCTATATGAAAGTGTCTTATTCATTCATACATTCCACTTTTGTTTTGTTTTCTCCGTTATATCACTGAACTTCAAATTAGGATTCTTTCTTACATTACTTTGAATTTTGTTGCTCAACCATTTGGAATTTAAGAACCTAACCTTATAGTCCATACTGCATGTGTGCTTGTCCATAATCTTTATAAACTGCCAAGTATTATTATCTTGCAATTTTATACAGTATGACTCCCATGGACATCCTTTCTTACATATAACTCTCATCCTCTTGTTATCATTTTCTTAAATAGGAGGTTTCTACCTGAATGAATAACATAAGTTATAATTCCCCCTTTAAAGTGTTTCTTAGAAGAAAAACAAGTCCCTAATTCCTATTTGTAATCATCCATTCTTTTTGGAAGCTTGAAAGTTGGAAAATAATCTTTTAAAATCTCACCATCCTCATTATCATAATCATGTGGTAACTCATCTGTGTCATACTCCTCAATATCACTCAAACCTCTAAAGCTTTCCTTTGTAGACTCATATTCATTCACATCATAAAATACACCACTACCCTCAACTGCTTCTTCCACCACCTCTTGTTTCCTTGGTCTCCTAACCTTGGCTCCTAACCCCTGCCCTTCCCCTTTCCTTTCCCTTCATCTATATCAATAGTAATTTCTTCAGTAATTCCAATTGAATCATCACCAGAATCCTTAAAGTTCTCTTTTAAAACACTATCCTCATCTTCCTTGTTACATTCTAGTCCCTCAACAACTAAATCAGTTTGAACACTTACCAAGTAAGGTGTGTCATCCAATATATCATTTTGGTCACTTACAATATGTTCAGTGGTCCCATCTAAAGTAATATTCACTATTGCATCCTCAGACACAATGTCCCTCTCAAAGTTAACATCCGGACATGACTCTTTTTAGTTAATTCTCTCAGTGGTCCCATCCACATTAACTTCCTTAAATGAACCTTCTAGGTCAACTACAACTGAATCTTCTACACCAATGGGCCCTACTTCATCAAATTTGTTACCTAGATTATTCAAATCTTCAACGGTCCCCAAGTCATCAAAAGTTTCAACTACAACAACACTATTCAACTCATCCAACATGTCATCTTCCAATTTATTGTCTTCTACACCATTGAGACCTACATTGTTTTCAAAAGACAATATTTGCTCTTCCCCATACATTGAATGTATTACATATAGATGCACATTCCCATTGACCGGTGCAATTGTTTTCATTCTATTTGTTCATGTGTCATCTTGCAACATCACTAACTCATTATCATCCACTGCATCATAATACCACAAGCTATATACTTTTGGGTACCCTAAGTCTTTTAACCCACCTAAAATCTCAAAATCCAAAAATCGAGGTTAACTTGCTAAATCTCCTATAACCCCTTGTAACCTAGTATGTTAAACTCATCAAACACACCCCTATGATGGATAACACACTCAAACCTATCACTCATGACCTAATCACAACAAATAAGAAAGAAATGAGACTTTGGAGTAGAAGACAATGGAACTTCGGAGTAGAAGACAATGTTAAGGTGATAACTATGAAAATGAAATGGTAAGTTCATACACGTACCTTGGTCTGGAAATGAAAAAATGGTAACGTTGATAACTACCGCCTTCTGATATGTTCCAACAATCGTTGTCTTCAAACACAAGCTCTTCTTCACAACTACTAGGGTTTTTTAGGCAAAGACAATGGAACTAATAAAATGAAATGAAAGCTTAAGAGTTCTAGATTTTATGTTTCTAAATATAACACATCAATATATACATATAATAAAAAATGAAACAAAACATTAACAAAATGCCACATCAGTTTGTTAATATGTCACATAGGCGCTTGTTAACGTTTTTCCACTAAAAATCGACAGAAAAGATTTATTAGTCTAACGGAGTTTGATTAAAGGATCATAGTGTAACATTTTAGAATTATGAGACTAAATTGAAACAATAAATTAAGTTACAAGACTAAAAGATTAATTAAGTCATCTATCTAACATATTTTAATGATTAAATAGATTATTTTTTATCACATACTTTAAATCCAATTAATCAATTTTTAAAAAATAATTCTTATTTTGAGATTATAAAAGTCAAATAAATATAATATAAATGATATTTTTATTAAAATATTGAATTTTATATATATATATATATATATATATATATATATATATATATATATATATATATATATATATATATATATATATAAATGATTTAGGATTCAGAATGATTTTTTTCGAAAATAAAAATAATTGATTTATGAAATCAATTTTGTTTTCAGAAAACATTATATTTTTCGAAATGAATAAAACATTTTAAAAAAATAGATCTTTTGAAAAAAAATTAGATATTTAATAAAAAATATATTTTTTTAAATTAAAAAATCAGATTTTTTTTCTCAAAAGAAATCATTTGTTTCGAAAATAACTTTTTATATATTTTATGATGATAAAACAATTGTATTTGAATATAAAAAAATTAATTTTTTCAAGATAAAAACATTATTTTCAAAAAAACAATTTAAAATTTAATTTTTAAATAATTTCTATAATTCTTTTTATAAATAACATTTTTAAAAAAAATATTAGATATATTTAAATTAAACTTTTGGGTGAATGTCATTCATTAAAAAATATTAATAAGTGAATTGAATGAATTTTATTTTTAATTGATAAATTGAATTGAATTGAATATTTTTAATGAAGATTTAATGAATTGTTAATGAATTAAAAAATTATTTTAATTCATTCATCAACAAATCTAATTTATATTTATCCACTCCATCTATTTTGCGACATAATCTAAATTTTCTTCTCAAACACATATAATTCTCAGCTACGAAAAACTTATTAAGTATTTAATCTTATTTACGACCCCATGGCTGAATTCCCTCTCAAGTTTCCCGCGCTTTGTCTAAATACCCTCACATTCCCGCTTCCAACTATTTCATTTCTCTCCCTCTCTCTCTCACACACACAATTCACAACACAAACAAAACTGTTTTGCCCCAAACTCAAACTCCATGAACTCTCGGGAACTTTCTCTAGTTGCCACGGCAACTCTAGTTGGCGCCTTCGCCTCCGCAATCGCTCTCCGTTTCTTTCACCAATCCAAAACCAATCCCACTCAAAACGGCACCATCTCTTCTTCTACCGACCCTTTCGACACCTCCAAACGCAAAGGGTAATTATTTTCTAACTTTTTTTTTTCAAATCACTCTTAGATCCACCCACCGGTATTCAATATTTATTGCCTTCATTGAGTTATACAGATACTTGTCGTGGGATGATTATTTTATGGCTATTGCTTTTTTGTCCGCTGAAAGATCTAAAGACCCTAACAGGCAGGTCATATTTCTCACCGCACCAAATTGCTCTTAATTGTTTTTAGAAATTTATTTCTATGTATTAACTGTACATGCTTGTATTTTATCATATCACATCATCATAATGTTGCTTTAACATGTTAGCTCATAAAATATTCTTGCAATTTCTAATTGGTGAGATATGATTCAATGCATGTTGGTTCTAAAGTCTCTCGAGGGAGAGCTTTGACGCCCATTGTAGTCCTCCTAGCTCGAGGGATTAGTCTTTTTAATTGTGCGCAAAGGATATCCGTTTTTTACCCAAAAATTGTTGGTTTTAAAGGTTGTGCATATTGGTGTGTTATTGATATTTGATAATGTAGGTTGGTGCTTGCTTAGTGAGTCAAGATGGTATAATTCTCGGTATGTTCATTTCGTTCACTTACTTGCACATTCTATTTCTTTTGAGGAACACGCATTTCATACCTTGTTTATTTTTCTTGTTCTTTCTATGGCAGGGATTGGTTATAATGGATTTCCAAGAGGCTGTTCTGATGACAAGTTACCATGGGCCAAGGTTGGTGAATAAGGGAGGATTTGAGTTGTTTTTGGGGCTATCATTTAACATTCTCATTGATATATTTGTTTATCTTTCAGAAATCAAAGACCGGGAATCCTTTGGAGACTAAGTACCCGTGAGTGTTTTTTAAATCATATTTCACTCTTGTTGTAACCTTAATTATGTTCTTGCTAGAATCTTACTTTCCATTAACCATGATCTTTTTGATAATGTTTTTTTCTTCTTTTCATTTTGGGTCTATTTTAGTTATGTTTGTCATGCTGAAGTAAATGCTATTCTTAATACAAACCATGCCTCTGCTGCTGGACAAGTGAGTTCCTCTGTACTATCTAATTAACATATATTTAACTATCTTATACTTTATTTATCACGCTCCATTTGTAACTTTCACCTAGACTATGCAATTAACACCATATAGCATGTCCTGCCAGCACCTAAAAGAAATTTCTTATATTTCTTTAGTCAACAAGGTTTGGTTTGCCACTGGACACTAAGATGTTCCTATTTTCTTTTTTGATCAACACAGCGGCTGTATGTGACCATGTTTCCATGCAATGAGTGCGCCAAGATCATAATCCAGGTTGGGGGTCTTGTTCAACTTGATGCATAATATGTTTTAATAAACCATTGATAAGTTCTTGACCCTTAATTTAACTTTTCATTCTCCTCCAAAGCATATGTTTATGAGAATGTAGAGACATTGCTATGCCTAAAATACAATAAATTAGCTCAGTTGGTTTCATTTACAGCAGCTGAATCAATCATGTTTAATCATGTTCTGATTGATTCAAAATCAGAAGCCTCTGCACTATGGTACTACCATTATATGCATATGATGCATCTTTAACTTGATATTATTATTCATTCGTTAGATTAGAAGCGGTACATCATATATTCAAATTCTTTCTTGCAGTCTGGAGTTTCTGAAGTCATTTATTTTGTGGAGAAAAGATTAGAAAATTCAGATGTTGCATACACTGCCTCTCACAAGCTACTTTCCTTGGCTGGTGTTAAGGTAACTTCCTATCCATAATTTTCTGTAGGTGTATTTTCACTCACTTCAGTTGGCTTAGATATACCAAATACTTACTGATACCAATTCAATACTATAAACTTCTAAATTTGAATGTTCCTTATACTTGTGTTGCACGTCTCTAGCCAATCTGTAGATCTTTACCATAACTTATATAAATTTGTTCCTTGATTATGCAGGTCAGGAAACACCAACCAGTGGCGAGTGAAATTCATCTGAAGTATGATGAGCACTAGCTTTTGAAGCTTGGCATGACATTGCAGCATGACATGAATTCAGTGTTTGCAGTAACTATTTTCTAAAATCAGAATTACCGTAGATGATGGCTGTGATGATTCTAATTACTTATATTTCAATTTCTCCTCAAACCAGATAATCTACAAAGATAACAGTCATGACACATTTTGACCCTTCATTATGTGTTGTGTGCAATCAAGCCACACATATGTATTAAACCCCCATCGAGTCCTCAGTGACGACTTCAAGGGTGATAGCAGGAGAATATAATACCTAGTTTTCATATTAAAGAAAACTTTCAAAACTATATTTACAACTCATACAATGAAAAGGAACTTTGGTCTATAATGGTAGAGTAGAAACAATTCTCCCATTTTCAATCTATCTATTTCCGTTATGTTATTTATTTGGAGTCCATGCACAAATTTTATGTTATTTCAACACTCTCGTTTGCCCGTGACTTGACAATAGATCTAGTATGCTAAGCATTAATAAACCTTGCAAGAATTGTCAATGTTATGCAAAGTATATTTTTGGATTTTATGGTTACACTTTTTTTTTTAATCTCATCTAGAGACTATTTCGTATTAAAATAAATTATAATGATATATAAATTCAATCGGTATCATTTTTATGTTATCACTTGTCTTTCTTGTTTTGTCACATAATTCTGTATTCAGTGTTCAAATTATCTCACTCACCGTGTGTTTGATAACCCGCTGGAGCAGAGAATGCAGATTTTTGCTTTTGCAAAATGTTTGGGTTGCTTGAATGAAAATCAACTTTCGTTCCCAAGCTTTAAATTTAAAGTTTAATGATGTGTTACATGTATATCTTCTTTCATCTTCCTATATTTCTATATTATGTTGGAGTTAAACCTCCATTGATGCACAAGAATTAAGAAGATGAAGTTGAGAAAAAAATTGATGAGAGAGAGAAACTGGAAAAGCTTGTAACTAACTTTCTCTATCAACAAATTCTTCAATATGAATTAATTACTACAAATTGAAAACTGAGTTTCAATATTTATACAACCAAACGTAAATGCAATCGAAATGCAAACCAAATATAGATTAAACTCAAATGCAAATGCTAGCTAAAATGAAACTGGGTTTAAATTACAACTAACATTATCTCTTAATTCATATTTAGTTAATTAAAATCAACAACACCAATTTCATCCCTCAAATTGATGAAGTGTTCAGTCTTGATTTTCTTGGTCAGAACATCTGCAAGTTGATTCTGAGTGCTACAGTGAATAATTTCTAGCATTCTATTTTGAACTTGATTGCGCAGAAAATAGAACCTTGTCACTATATGCTTGTTTCTCCCATGCAGCACTAGGTTCTTGGTAAGACTTATGGAAGATTGATTGTCTATCGTCAACTTGTCTGGTTTGCTCATCTTGAACTTCCGTTTCTACAACAAATTCATCAGGCAAACAACTTGACAAGTTGCCAAAGCACGAACTATGTATTCAGCTTCACATGCTGGCAATGCAACCACAAGTTACTTCTTGGAACACTAAGAATGAGAGCTTCCAAATACTTAAACAAGTATCTTGTTATGCTTTTCCTGTCAACTCTGTCTCAACATCATCTGACTTCCTGAATGGAAACAAAATGCCATGCTTCAGAGTCCCTTTCACATACCTTAGAATCCAGACTGCAACTTGGTAATGAGACCACTTTGGTTTACTCATAAACTTACTAATCATTCCAACTGAATAACAAATTTCAAGTCTAATATTGCATAGACATCTTAGTGAGCCAACCAACTGTTTAAAAGTTGTAGTATCTACATCTGGATTAGAGTTCAATTTGTGGTTTGTTTCTACAAGTGTGACTGCAGACTTACTGTTCATCTAATCAAACCACTTCAATAGCTCAAGTTCATACTTTAGTTGATTCATAATGATTCCCTTTTCAGAGGATATAATCTTCATCCCTAGAAAATGTACCATATTTCCAAGGTTAATCATATCAAAAGTATTCATCATCACCTTCCTGAACTTGTTTATCTCAGTAATACAACTTCCTATTTGCAATATGTCATCAACATAAAGACACACCAAAATCACATTGCCATCAGAGGTATGTTGCACATACAAATCATACTCCATTTCACATTTTCTAAATCCCCGTTGTTTGAAAAATTAATCAATTTCCAGATTCCAAGCTCTTGAGGCTTGCTTAACTCCATACCTAGCTTTATGAACCTTGTATATCATCCTTTCTTTGTTCTCTATCACAAATTCAAGAGGTTGTAACACATACACTTCTTCTTGCAATGGACCATTCAGAAATGTTGACTTCACATCTAAATGTATCAGAGGCTAATTCTTATTTGCAGCTATAACAATCACCAGTCTGATTGTTTCATGTCTAGCTACAAGTGCAAACACTTCAAAGTAGTCTAAACCAGATTTATGTAGAAATCCTCTAGCTACTAACTTTATTTTGTTCTTAGAAGTCGACCCATATGGCTTTAATTTTATCTTGAAAACCCATCTCAGACTAATGACTTTCTTGTTATTTGGCAGAACAATCAGTTCACATGTCTTGTTTCTTTCAATTTCCTTAAGACCTTCATTCAAGGCGTTTAGCCACACCTTATTCTCGAGAGCCTAATTGATACAAATAGGTTTAGAGTCCATCATCATGGCACACTGTATGACTTCTCCTCCAGAGTTAACCTCAGTATCATGCAACAACTCAAAATCTGTAAGTTTCCTTGGTATTTGTCTAACTCTCTGTGGCCTCTAGAACTACGCAAGTTCACCTTTAGAGCCAGGTACACCTTTATAAGCCGGATTACCACCATAGGATGAACTACCTTCAAAGGTTGGACTAACTTTAAAGTCTGGATCACTATCATAGGCTAGACCACCTTTAGAGTCTAGACCACCTTCAGAGTCTGAGTCACATTCAGAGTCCGAGTCATTTTCATGGTCTAAGTCATCTTTAGAGTCAAAATCTCCTTTAGAGGCATATTCTCCTTCAAAGACATCTTCAGAAACACCTTCAACTCCAGAGATAGGATTAAACTTGTTCCAATCCTATTTTCTGATTCTTTCACTATGACATCTCTATTGACAACAACTCTATTTTTGACATGGAAATAGAGTTTATAGGCACCTGTAGAGTGATAACCTATAAGAAACATGATATTGCTTATGTCATCCAATTTTATTCTAGTAGGATCTGGACCATATTTGTAACAAACAAAACCAAACACCTTCAAATGACTCACACTTTGCTTTCTTCTAGTCCACTTCTCCAGAGAAAATATTTCCTTTAACTTATTAGTTGGACATCTGTTGAGCACATAAGCTGCAGTACCAACAACTTATCCCGAGAATGTATGAGGACAATTATTTTCTTTCAACATGATTCTGGTTATGTCAAGTAAAATTCTACTTCTTCTCTCAGCAAGACCATTATGATATTGAATGTATGGAGAAGTCACCTTATGCTCAATACCATTCTCCTCACATAACTTCTTGAACTCTCTAGAGTTGAACTCACCTCCACCATCAACTCTGAGAATCTTCAACCTTTGTCCACTTTGATTTTCATCCTTCACCTTGAACTTCTTGAACTCAACAAACACCTCATGTTTAAACTTTATGAGGGCTACCCGTGTCATTCTGGTGAACTCATTCACAAATGACACAAAGTACTTGTTCCCTCTAAGTGAAGGTGCTTTAAATTGACCACATACATTAGAATGCACCACACTCAAAGCATGAGTTTCTCTTGTAGGCAATTATGATGAGAAAGAAAATATTGGTTGCTTGCCTTTCATGCATATATCACATTATTTCTATGGTTCCACAATCTTAGGAATTTCAAGTATCGACTTTTTTGAATTCAGATTCCCTAAGCTTCTGAAGTTCAGATGCCCCAATCTCTTGTGCCATAACTTCAAGAGATTGTTCTTCATGGTTACTAAAAAACCTTTTTCAATAAGCTGACCAACACTCATTAGATTTCTTTTCATGCCTGGAATATATTTATCATCAACACATCTGATCTTAGTCTTTCTACCAGAATTAAAGTCAACAAGCCATTGTTTGTTTCCAGTTAGGTGATTTGACCACCCAGTCTCCACATACCACCAGCCTACCATATTTTCACCTTCATTATCAGATGTCATCAATAACACAAGTTCATCATCTGAATCTCCTCTGACTATATTGAATTTTCACACTTATTTTCCTTATTTGACCAGCAGTCAGAGGCATAATGGACAAATCTATTACAGTTGTAGCACTAAACCTTTATCTTATCAAACTTCCCATTTCCCTTCTGAACATTATTCTGTTTCTTCTCTTCAGAAGAAGAAGGTTCTAACTTTTGAACATTATTTTTCTTATTTTCTAGCCATGCTAGATTTTTGTTCTTCGTAATAAAATAAGTATTCAGAGCCTGTTCAGGATCCCTTTCAGATTTTATTTTAGTCAGACGAAACTCTTGTGCCTATATACTAATCTAAATTTCTTCAATTCTCATGGTGCTAGTGACTTTAGAATGTTCTATGGCTACAACAATGTAATAAAACCGAGGAGTAAGGGATCTGAGTACATTCTCAATGATAACATATTGAGAGAGAGTTTCTCCACAAGCCTTCATCTCGTTTATGATCAGAGTCACTCTGGAGATGTAATAAGGTACCTTCTAATTGTTCTTCATGCTGAGATTCTCGTATTGCTTGCGTAGGGAATGCAAATTCACTTTCTTCATTGATGCATCACCCTATAACACTGCACCAATGTATTCCACGTGACTTTTAACATCGGCATGTCAATAGTCTTCTCAAACACCTTCATATCCACACAATGATAGATATAGAATAACACCTTATGATCCTTCCTCCCCGTATCATGTTGTGCGTTTCTTTGCACTTTGTTGCATCTTATGCCACCGACATATAACTGTCATTGACGATATCAAGAACATCTTGAGCTCCAGATAGCACACACGTCCGAGTCAAAAAT